AAGTGGACAAACCACGACACTGTGTCGGGGGCATAGCTCAGCTGGTAGAGCGCGCGCTTAGCATGCGCGAGGTCTCGAGTTCGATTCTTGATGCCTCCACTTTAAGGATCCGAGATCCGTTGGATTTTGCGGTTTCGTGGCGAGGGTTGTACCTTCGTGGGCACACGAAACGCCTGCTCCGCTAGCTCAGTGGTAGAGCACCTCCCTAGTAAGGAGAAGGTCCACGGTTCGATCCCGTGGCGGAGCTACAGGGAGTAAATTTCCTAGCTTAGCTCAGTTGGTAGAGCGTTTGACTGTAGAACAATAACAATAACCATCAAATGGTCGCTGGTTCGATTCCGGCAGCTGGGACAACTTTCGCAGTTGGACATCGTGGGGTTAGCTCAGTGGTAGAGCGTTCGATTGCAGTTCGAATGGTCACCTGTTCAATCCAGGTACTCCACTCTTACGGTCTCATAGTCTAGTTGGTTAGGACTGTGGGTTCTGATTCCACCAGCCTGAGTTCGAATCTCGGTGAGACCTTTTTTTAGCGTCGGAAAGCACTCTTTTTGCCTTTTTCAAATGGATGACGAGCAAGGGCTTTTCCGCGGAGGCGCGGTCCTGGGGAAACGTGGTAGTTGTCTCCTGAGGCGCCGATTCAAATCCGATCAACGCCCGGGAAGCCCGCGCGTGGAGACGCGTGGTATCTGGCACGATGGGTGCAGCCTTTATACTTTTTTGTTTTAGGAACGATCCCCCCTTACCCGCGATGACCGCGACTACCGACATGGGTTCGTTACAAAAAAAATCCTATCCTGGAACAGAGGGAAAAGCGACTTTCTCGAGGAGGTCCCCTGCGTCTTTTTCTTTCGGCCAGAGTTCCCAGTTATACCCATCAATGCCACTTTCCCCCTATTACCGAGCTATTAATACACATCAATACATCACTCAATACCAAGCAATTCATAAGCGAGCGCGACCGAATGGACAAGGAGCTTGACTGCGAATCATGAGATTCCGGGTTCGAGCCAACTTCTTTTTGCGCGCGGTGCCAATTGGCGGCGCGAGCTTCGGGCCGAACCTTTTTGGGCCGTTTCCGCGTTTCCCCCGCGCCGAGCGCAGAAGTCGGCGAGGCGTCTGTCGGGTCGGACACAAGGTGCCCTATGAGGAGCTTTGTTGGAAACGCGACGAGCCGAGGTCTCTCCTATCATATGATGTCAAAAGCTTGAGGATTGGCTTTGGTGAGGACGCCGAAGGTTTCCGGCGAAGCAGATCGTTCTATCTTGAGCAGCTGCCGGCACAGTCGGTAAACGCCCGGCAACGCGGCGTGGTCCTCACGCAGCACACCCACCGAGATTGCACACTACAGAGCCGCTACCGCTGGCGGAAAGCAGGCTTCTGGCAGCAACGCGCCTTCTTCTCGCAACGCCTCGATAGCCGCTTCCAGGGCCGCGCTCAAGAGCATGTCGACTATGGGCCGCCGACCACGACCTCCTGGCCCGCCGTCGGCGCCTGGGTGGCTGGGCGCCATTCCCGTGGGTGCTTGGGGGTTTGGGCGGTGGCGACGCTGGAGCGCCTGGTCGCTCGGTCTTCGCCCAACGTGCGGAACCCACCAACCATGGTTATGCTACTGTTGGGGAACCCATCGACCAAGTTATGCTCCTGTTTGGGGTGATAGAGTCCCGAAATGCCCTGTACCACAAAAGCCTTCTGTCAAAAACGCTCTAACTAGAAATTCAAACGCCAGTTTTGGCTCGTCTGAAGCGCCACTCGCGGCGCTCGTGCGGTGCGGGCTTATGCCACGCGAGTACGCATGGACCCGCCCTATCACATAGAGCAGAATTTCCGTGCTTCCAATCCCGCAGTTGCCAAATGGTCGTAAAATATCACGATAAGAAGGCAAAATCCACATCCACATCAAGACGCAGTTAAGATGGCGCTCAAAGTTTTTTATAAAGTCCAGACTATTGAGGGGGCAGTCCAAATCAAATCAGCATTCAATGACGTTATCAGTTTTTAGGTCCGTCCTGGTTTTCTCGTGAGATTTTTTTAATTTTTTTTTTTTCAATCAAGTCCAAGTTATCGACCAGAAGGGCAATGTATTTTAGCGACATTCTATCGACCTTATCGACCGGAAAGTTAAGGAGGCCTAGCTCGAGGGAGGTTTTTCGACAGTCACATGGGGGGGCGCCCCCATGTCATCGTCGAAAAGCCTCCCTCGAGCTAGGCCTTCTACACTTTCCGGTCGATAGGTTTTTGACAGGATGTTCGCCCCCAAAAAATCGCCAAAAGCGGCTGATCTAATTTGGACTGGGGGGCGCTTGTTCACGCCACTGCAGGGCGCCTTCCTCGAGGCTGATCATTCAGGGACAACCCGAGGGGCATGGGGGCCATAGCGACCACCCCCCCTTTGTACATAGCCCACGATAGCCAAACTTCACGCCACTTGAGACCGGCTTTATCGCCAATATGGTCACGGGTGACGGGCTTGTATGTTCCTTGACCTTCTCTTTCGAACGCCCCCGTCTGTGACTATAAAGCTGCCCGTGGAGCTTAGCTACAGGCCACCAAGTTTCGTGAAAGGCACTGGGCGGAAGTTGAAAGCTTTAGGGAATCCGTTAAGCTCCGGGTGCTAAATAAAATGGATTTATTTATGGCTTGGCAGCCTCGGCTTACACTAGCAGCTTAGATCGATTATTTAAACATATCTTTGAAATTAAGTTTTCGGACGGTTACTAGATTCCAATTTTCGGCTATTTTCGATACAAGGATTACAAGTGAGGGCCCGTTATCATTGAAGTTCAGACTCGCTAGTCCGCAGGCCGAAGGAAGCTTCAGGGACCTCGTTCGTCTCGAGGGGAGCGGTTCCTTAGAACCCGAAGGGCCTCGTCGCTTGGGGAGGCGAGGCCCATCCGATAGGCACCATGGGCTTTCAAGGAACCGGCGTCGTTCGCGCGGTCTGCCTGCCCTGTAATTTCTTGAAATTCCAGACCGAAATTCCCCACAAAAGCCATGTAACAGTATTATTATGATGATGTGGTTCCTAAAAAATGGGCGCCTGTTCTCAAAAAAAGGACGACAAAAAATGGCCGAACCGCCGGCCCGCGATGTGCTTCAAGACGGCTCCGTGCGCGCCGAGTCGGATCACGACAAGCGGTGCGGCGGCTAGATTTGTTACGACTCAAACTATATCTTGCTCGCAACTTTTCTTGTCTCAATTAGGACGATTTGACTCAGACCCAGACTGTACAATAGACACACACCGGGTGTCATACGATAGGCACACGGAGGCATGAAAGTTCAAGTTTTAAGATGAGTTTAAACTACCGATCTAAGCTGGTAGTGTGTTGGATCGATTCAGCATCGATTCAGAACCTTTCGGGGATTGGATGAACGACGACCATAGCCCTTTAAAAGAATTTAAGTTTGGAAAAGAATTGGAACCATGACCTTTTGAAAATTGCAAATTCTGGCAAAAACATCGTGGCGTATCGCCGAAGAATATCCGCTTCCAGCGGATTCCTCACGGGCTGGGTGCGAGAGCCCAGCGCGGCCGCGGGGTCGGGTGCCTCCACTACGGCACGCACGCGCAGAAGCGCCTGCGCCGCTGCCTCGTGCCGAAGGATTATGCGCAATGGTGCGAGATCGCCCAGGACCGCAACAGGTGGCGCGGTATCGTCAAAGACATCGACCTCTGATCGGCACGGCGCGCCGAGCCGCCGACGACGTCGCCGGCGAGGGGTGCGGCGCCGGCGCGCTCCGGCGCGGGAGGTCGCGGGAGCGCCGGTGCGCACCGGCGCGCACCGGCGCGGACGATAACACAACAGCGGCGCACACGCCAACACGCGCGTCAACACATCAACACCACCAAAGACACTCCGGCCGACCCACCACCGCCCCGGATTCTTCGCGTCGCCGGCCCATCGCGCTCAATGAAAATAGCGTCAATCGTGGGCAGCCTAGCTTCAAGTTTTATGAAAGGGTAATCACTGACTGACTGACTGAGCGGATTCCCCGAGGAATTCCATTTCCGAGGGGATCCTAACCCCCTTGGCCGGCACGTGCAGTGACAAGGAGCCTCGAGAGGCGCTTGAAATCCATCTATACCGCACAAGGGGGGTCGCTTATAACCCCAAGGACCTTCTGTCAATTGCAGCATTCGTCGGGGGCTGGTTTGCTCCTGTTGGGGGTGTGGTAGAGGACGCCGCGCTGAGTCCCATGGTGCCCGATCCCATAGAAACTGCCAGTTCAGAACGCTCAAACTGGAAATCCAAACGTCAGTTTTGGCTCGTCTGAAGCGCCTGTTACGCTGCGTCTCTATACTTTGAGACGGCGCAGTGCAGGCGTGGTAACAGTTAGGTAACAGAATTCGGGATGGGTATATTCTGAGTTTCGGCATTGAGGTTTGAGCTCAAGTTGAGGATGATGTTGAAGAAGGAGTTCAATGAGGCCGTTGAAGAAGGATGCGGCAGGATGGAGCCGTTGCGGGGGTGGCTGGCGCAGCTGCTGCATGTACAACGCGAGGGGCTGGCACATTATCAGGCTCGACGGCCGCGGGTGGATGTCGATCAACGACTTGCTTACGTTGATCTTGAAGCCGTTGGTGGATGCTGCTTTGGTCAGGCCTGGAGAGTTTTCATCTGTGATGGTTGCCACGGCGCGCTTTTCCTTGACAAGCTGCTGCAGAACAGATTGGGGAAGTTGTCCTCCTTTCAATAGCGAGGACGTTGAGTGGACGATCTTGTTCAGGTGGACTATCGCCGTTACTTCGCGATGGGTTCGTGCTGGGGTCATAGTATGCAATTTCTTGTCGTCTTTGGGGTCGAGAAGCGCCTGATTATAGGCGCGAGTCTTGATGTTGTCTGAATAGCCGTTGCATGAATGCACGTGAATTGTTTGCTTGTCTTCGTCGATTGCGAGTAGTTTTCCGACTTGCCAATCTTTGCGAGCTCTTCCGGTCGTATAAATAAATAATATTGTCTCCAAAGTTGAGGTCGTCCATGCTCGACGGCAGTGGGGCTATAACAGTTAGGATGTTGTCGGATTTCTTCGACGGTGCAGTGGGATGTTCGGTGGTTGTCTGCGTTGAGTCTTTGAAATCCATCGACGAGAATTCACCACCTGGCCGGTGCTTCCGTAGTCGCAAGGCCGCAATGCCCGATTTGGTATCTCCGGTTCGAATGTGGCGAAGGTCGAAGACGTTCGGAGAGATTGTCCTTTCAGTGTTGATGTGTGGGCCGATGATGAGGTACGAGCCGCAATACGGACCGATGAGTTTGGTGATGGTACCTGAAATAGTCACCCTATGATGAAGCAGCACGTGGCCTCCTTTAAAGTACTCCGGCGGTAGCTTGTCGGCTGCGCGTCGCGTCTTCCATTTAGCGTGCTCGCGTAGGCAGTTGGAAATGTTTTGAAGAGGCGGATCGAGAGGGTGGCCTTAATTTTCCACCATGGTTGGTAACAGATGAGCGAATTTCAGCGCTGCTAAGGCCTCTTCTGGTGCGTTTTCTTTGATGACGCCAACGTTCAATTTGTCGATGTCA